ATCTCTTCCCCCAAGTGAGTCCAGGGCACCAGACAGCTTGGTGTCATCGGCAAAACTGAGGGTGCACTCAGTGCCGTCATCTATGTCGCTGACAAAGACGTTGAACAGCACTGGACCCAGGACAGACCCCTGAGGAACACCGCTTGTCACTGGTCTCCATGTGGACATCGAGCCATTGACCACAACTCTTTGAGAGCGACCATCCAGCCAGTTCTTTATCCACCGAGTGGTCCATCTGTGAAATCCATGTGTCTCCATTTTAGAGACAAGGATGTCATGTGAGACAGTGTCAAACGCCTTGCACAAGTCCAGGAAAAAGACATCCGTCGCTTTTCCCATGTCAACCAGCGCTGTAGCTTTGTCATAGAAGGCCACTAAATTAGTCAGGCACGACTTACCCCTAGTGAAGCGTCAGTGTGTGTGTCTGTGTGTGTGTGTGTGTCTCTGTGTGGGTGTGTGCCAGTGTGTGTGTGTGCCACTGCGCTTGTGATTCAGTGTGTGCATGTTGGGTGTGTGCACCTGTTCACACGTGTGCATGCGTGCACCGGGGTGTGTGCATGCCCGCACATCACTCTGTGTGTGAGGAAGAGCTCAGGTTTTCCACTCCCGGCCCCATTTCCATTTCCAGAGGTTTCACCTGCCAGGCGTTATTTCTCTCTCCCAGGCAGCTGCCCTGAAACACTGCTGACGCTGGAGAAAAGGCAGACTTCTTACGCTCTTTAAGTTACCTGATAAAGCTTGGAAGTTTTCAGCTATTAAAACTTCGGTGCTCAGAATGCTCTTGCAGAAGGTGCTGCCAAACCCCCCACCTTTGCACGCCCCAAGGATCTCATACCCTCCACACCCTCATCATGTGGCCGGTGGCTATTTCTGCCTTAGTGCTGCAGCGAGGGCTTTAATTTAAGGAAGCCATTTAGTTCCTTTTTTAAAGCATGAAAACTACCTTCAGACATGACACGATGGGACCCGGCTACCTAAAAAAAATCCAACCAATTCCCCCTCCTGAGTCCTTCGGAGAAGGGGTGTTTTTATCTCTGGTAATGAACTGGGCAGCAAGAGGAGTGACACGTGATTTTCATTTTTTTTCCTCCAGTCCCACCTGAAACTGGTGGCAGAAGAAGTTTGCGCATGTGGCTGAGGAGGGGTTTGCTTTCTCTTTTTTTCCAGCAATGGTTGGAATCTGGCTGGATGCTCTTTTTCATTTCAAATTGCAGCATCGCTTGTCTATGCCATTGCCATTTTTTCCCTGTGTGCTCCTTCCTCGCGCAGGGTGGGAATCCCAGCTCCTCACTCACCCAGGAGGAATTTTACTTACATAAGAAAATAAGCTTATATAGGAACAACCATGACTGTCTTACCGTTGACATTTACTTCCAGCTCCCTTTAATTTTGACATAGCAGGAAAGTTCCACATGGCTTCTTGAATAAATTACAAAAATACTGAAACAAAGCTTTGCAGCAATGAATGAAGTTAATGAATTCTCTCCTAACGAAGCTTCCCTGGGGTCTGTGGGACGAGGGAGATTGGGAAAGACGGGAGCGCCTCTGCTGTCTCTTAACATCCCACACCCTCCACCCAAGCCCTCCAGTATTTGGATATAACAAATGCATTTGGATATAACATTTATCGCTGTCCTGCTTCCCAGGAGCTGCCAGCTCTGCCTGGCATCAGCATGTTTTTGAGATGACCGGTGGGTTTGGGATCTTCTGAAGGGACCTGCAGGGTGGGTGCTGGGTGCAGGGAGCCAGGCAGCCTCCCCGCAAAGCCCAGCCCACCCTTCCCCTGGCTGGGTGATCTGTCACCTCGGCTGTCCCAACTCAGGGGTGAGACTTTTATTCTCTGTACAGGTGAGGTCTCTGAATGCAGAGGGATGATTTCATCCTCCTCCCGCTCCGTGCCTCCAGCTCAACCTCTCGAGGCTGCTCCAAGGAGGCGGCCGAGCCCCTAAGCCCAGCAGCTCTGTTCTTGAGCTGGGTCCTGCCTGATGGCAAAGCCAGCCCATGTCCCGCTGGTGCTGCCAGGAGCAGGAGCAGCCCGGGGGGCCAGGGCCAGCTCATGGCCTCCCCGCCACGCTGCAGGGCTCTGTCCTGGGCCGGGGAGGCCACGGCACGTTGGCGTAGATATCCTGCTGATTCGGAACAGGCTTCTGCATGCTGTCATACATAGCCTCTCTTTCCTCTTCCACATGCTAGGAAAGAAGAATTTAAAAAAAAAACAAAATCCTTCATGGAGTTGTTCCATCTGCTGGGCCCTCTGTCAGCTGCTTTAAGCACCCAGAAGCACCCATGGGAAGTGGAGAGGGAAACCAGGGTCCTTTGCATCCCAGCTCAGCTTGTCCCTTTGCAGTCCCCTCCCTCCCCACCCACCCCGCTGCCCACACCGTCACGCAGCCACCAGCTCGGTGCTGCTTTGCATTCCCCTACCGTGCAGCTTGGCTTGAGCTCCGCGTATTCCGTCATGGCCTTTGTCGAGCGGCAGAAAGTCTCGGCGTTGCTGTACAGGTGGCTCTCGGCTGTCCTGGTGTCATGGTTAATGTCCGCGTAGTTCAAGGCATCCGCTTCCTGACACCAGGGGAGGGACAAGCTCTAAACCTGCTGCTGCTTCCCTGCCTGCAGCCCACAGGAGTGAGAACGTCTGTCCCTCTGCCCTTGCTGATTTCCCCAGGGCTGTTTCAGCCAGAGAAGCAGCTCCTGTGCCTGGTGGGGCTTGGGGAGAAACCTCTCAGCTTAATCCTAAATTCCCTTCCCAGGAAAACTTTGCTAGTCACACAAAGTCCCTGGCTGGCTCTTTCTCTTGGTGAACAGAGCACGAAGGATCCCTCCCAATTTAAATGGACATGAACCTGGCTGAAAGTGCATGGCTCTGTCAGCTCAGCTCTGGGGGTAATGATTCCCTGCCCCGAAGGCAAGCTCAGGGCATGCCATCCCAAGACCTCATGCAGTTTGCCTTACTGTATACAACGTGTTATGAATCCTGTCCATCTCTACCACTGCTCCGGAGAGGGCTGGATGAAGCACAGATGTGGACAGACATGAGTGAAACCAGAAGAAAAGAAATATATTAAAACACTGCTGCAGCTGCAAATGACAACGTAAAGCAGGAGGGGACCCCGTTACCCCATTGAAACCGAAGCCATTCTTCAAATAAAACCAGACTCCACCTGCCAGCCAGTGACATCTCCTCTCATCCCTCCCCTCCTTTGCACTGGCCTTAAACTTTGCATCAAGCCCAGTGGAAGCCTGAACTAGACAAGTGAGCATGCCTGGAGAAACTAACGGTGCCCAAAACCAAGTGGGTGTCGTGCCGGGCAGCACCTGTCCTGAGAGCTGCCACTCCCCGCTTCCATGGGCAGGAGACCTGTGGGGTCGGTCCCACTGCTCCCTCAGGGAACAGAGACCTTGGTGGAAGTCTCAGCAATGGATCCTTGGAGTTGGATGGATCAGGAAACAGAGAAGAAAAAAGAAATATAGAGGAAAAAACCCCAAATACAGCAGAAGACAGGGTCTGGTGGAGAAACAGCAAGGGAGCAGCAGTGACAGCATCACTTACCCTTCTTCCTCTTCCTGGACAGTGTTACCAGAACACCCGCCGCAGCTGCAAGCAAAAGAATAACCATTATGATGCCTGGAGTGAGGATGTGCACAACCATGTCCAAGCTGCAAGAAAAAAAAAGAAAGAGTTTGTATTCTCACATCTCTCAGCAGCAGAGATGGGGGTGAGGCAGCGTGGAGCAGGGAGGGGCTGTGGGTGGGGGGACTTGCCGTGGGACAAAGCGGTGTGGCGAGGCTGGAAGCTGGGCATGGAGCAAAGCAAACAGCAAACTGCAGAAGCAAACCGACACTCAAGTCTAAGAGTTGCTATGTCTTCACTGTTTCAAGGAACAGCTCCTGCACTTAATTTTGCTCTGGTTTAGGTCCACTGTTTGTTGACCTTGTTGTAATGGGAAACCAGGCAAGGGCTGGTGCGTCAGCTTCCCCCTGAGCATGCTGATGGGAAGCCCCAGTGTTGTCCACTTCTTGCATCATCTCCAAGAGGCTGGAAAGGAGGGAGGAAGCTCTGTCAATCCGCTCTCACACTTTGTCACCTATTTCTGCTGGGCTGTGCATCACTACGAAGCGGAACAGGAAGCAGCTCAGCACTTGGTTTCCCACAAGTAAATGGTTCCTGAGTCTTGGGGAAGGAAATGGGTTAAGTGTTGCAGCCAGAAACCGAATCTCACATGACTTAAGCTGCAAGATGGTCAGGGGCCAAGCAGAGCTTTGCCAGAGCCAAGCGACCAGGGCCACCGGGATTATTTTCCATGCGGAGTGGCTGGCTGAGAGGATGAAACACTGGTCTCTAAAGGCAAAAGCAGGAGATCCAAATCTTAAGAGAGGTGTGAAGAACCCAGAAGGTTGCAGGGCTTTAGCTGCACCAGAGACCTCATGGAGGGAAGTGGGAGCTGCAGGTGGGAGCTGGAAGTCACCTTGAAGCGCTGAGGTCTCCCTGGTCAGAGGGAGTTGTTTCTGGCCCTACAGATTCCCCATGGAGAGTTGTCTGTGTGAGGACTGACACAGAGCTAGTGACATCGGGGTGGCTGGTGGTCATGACACAGGGAGATGCCGAGGAGGAGGAAGAAGGAGCTGTAACAAGAAGAGGTGAGGCTCAGTCAGTCTCCCTGCCTCTACGGTGAAAAACACTGTGGGTTTTGCAGCAAGTCAGAAGTGACCCACTTATCGTCACACCAGGAGATGCTGGGTGCCCTCTGCCACGTCCAGAAAATACTCCTTGAGGTGGGAGTGCTTGGGAGTGCTATAATCCCCTGCCCCTGCCCAGGAGGCTTTTCATGGTCCCAATCCTCCCCCAAAATGTGCACACACAGCAGAGTTCACCCTTTTCAAAGGAGGTCTGGGCATCCCATGCCCAGCCAGGTACTGACAAAATAGCCCCATAGAGGTGTCCCACGATGGGTGCTGGTCTCTGGCAAAGGGAGAGAGAGGGATGTTCCCTAAGCACAGGGCCTGGCACCCACAGGCACTGGCTGCCCCACAGCAGGAAATGGGGCAGCACGGGAGTGGGGTGAGAAACTCCCTGGTGTTATAAAATAAGGCAAAAAGAGCACAGACAGGGCCTGCAAGATCTGCTGAGGGTGGGAGATGGGGCACAGAGAGCAGGACAGTACAGCCCAGCAATGGGGGTGGCTGACACTGGGGTGCCAAGAAGGGGCTATGGTGAGACTGGGTCACAAGGAACGGGCTGCCTCACGTGGTGTGGGCACCCACCTTCTCACTGCTGCCCCTCACAGCGGCACCCACTCCCAGCACTAGGAGGGGGACACAGCAACACTGGACCTGGGGGACCCACAAGTACAGACCTGGGGACACGATCACCTCCACATCATCACTGTCATCAGGCCAGCCTATGCCTGTTCGCACCCCGCAGCGGTAGGTGCCCGCATCCTTCTTGGTCAGGTTCTTCACAGTCACTGTGAACTCCTGATGGTCATGATCATCCCAGATGGAGAATCGGTCCCGCTGCACGCTGGGCTGATGCTTCGAGGTGATGATGATGTCAGTATCACAGGTTGAAAGTATTCTCCCCGGAGAGCACCAGAATTTCGGCAGCATCTTCTGGTCAGCCCAATACACGC